CAAATCGATTAATTTGGGAATTTCGGGTGGATTTGGGCTGGAAGAGGGGGGGGGAAAGGGGGAGGCGAAGCCACACCACGGCTTGTGCTCAACCCTGTTATTAGACACTGGAGAATCCACCTTGCATCCCACCCTGAGGTCAAGGGGTGCTTTAAATCCTGATGGGGGGGGCAGCCAGAGACCCCCCACCCGAGCACGGGGGGGAGGCAGCCAGAGACCTTGTGTCCCCATCTCCATGGGGTGCCTGGTCTTCCTTGTGACCCCCCCACCACCTCCCCGTGGGGCTGGGATGCTCCAAATCTTCCCCGTTTCCACCCAAAAGGGTGGAATCTGGGGGGGGGGCTCAGAAGGGAGCCAACCCACCCCCCTCTTCCTTATGTCTGGGCTCCTCAGGTCCGGGGGGTCCCCCCCGCGTCCCCTCCCAGCCGGCGCCAGGCGGATGGGTAGCGCCGTCGTCCTTCTCCCCACATCCCACCGCTGTCCCCGGGCGTGAGGACCTCGTAGAAGAGGAGGAAGAGGAGGAAGAAGAGACCCCCAACAACGCCCCCCCGGCCCCCCCTTTTTTTCCATCCCGGGGGTCCCGTCGGGGCACCGTCCCCACCGCCATCATGGACGAGAGCTTCCGAGACCGGACGGCCTTCATCCGAGGAGCCAAGGACATCGCCAAGGAGGTGAAGAAACACGCGGCCAAGAAGGTGAGCAAGGGCATGGACCGCATGCAGGACGAGTACACCAAGCGCTCCTACTCCCGCTTCGAGGAAGAGGAGGACGATGAAGACTACCCGCCCCAGGACGGCTACTACCGGGGAGGAGAAGGAGCCAACGAAGAGGAAGGGGCTTCCAGCGACGCCACCGAAGGGCACGACGAGGAGGACGAGATCTACGAGGGTGAATATCAAGGCATCCCCCGGCACGACTCGATGAAAAGTGGGGAGAGGTTGGGGGGCGAAGCGACCGTGGGGGCCTTCGACGATGGTGAGGGCCAGAGGAGGAAGGACAAGGAGGAGCTGGCGCAGCAGTACGAGCTCATCCTGCAGGAGTGCGGCCACGGCCGCTTCCAGTGGACCCTCTACTTCGTCCTGGGACTGGCCCTCATGGCCGACGGCGTGGAGGTCTTCGTGGTGGGCTTCGTCCTGCCCAGCGCCGAGAAGGACATGTGCCTCTCCGACTCCAACAAGGGCATGCTGGGTGAGGAGGGGGATGGGGGGACCTCAAAAAGGGGGGGGCAGTGGGAGATTGGGGGTGTGGAGAGATGGGGGGAACGGGAGCAGGTAGAGGGATATGGAGGGACATGAGATGGGGGAGCGTGAGGGACAGAGGGACATGGAGGGCCACTGGGAGATGGGGGATGTGGGGGGACATGAGATATGGGGGGGTGAGGGACAGAGGGAGAGGGGG